AGTATAATGGCAATGCAGGAATCCAAAATATTCCCAACTTTTTGGAATGCGAGAAAGACGCAGCCCAGTTCCTGCGTACAATTTTTGCCGCATATGAAGCTGCCAAGGGACAAGACTTAGCTTTTGACGGTGAGTGGTAGTGTGTGCTTTGACCGATCAATCAACCTTGAGCAGCAATGGCTGCTGAAGGGGGTGGCATTGGTGCTGGAGAACTGGCAGCAGGCGTCGACATGAGCATAGGCTCTGCTTGGTCGCCAGCATTGCTGTCCATGGCGACGTCACTTTCGTTGGGTTTGACGTCGCTAGAACCTTGTTGTGAGACCTGGTTGGTGTCGCTTGACTCTTCACCGTTGAGTATTTGTGGTCTTTCCTGCCCTCGCCACGAAGCAAGCTCCCAAACCACCCCAGTAAAACTCTTGAGAGTAAATGGCTTTTTGCTCCACTTGCGACAGGGCTTACCGGAGCGGTCGAGAGCACGAAGGCCGGCGTTAATGGCACCTTGATTAGCTTTTGGGCCCAGCTTGTGCCCAATATTGATGCCAGCTGGAGTCGAGGCCTTGACACCACCATGATCAATGGTGCCATCTTCACTATAGGTGATAAGTCAGCAATGTATCAAAGACAAAGGTGTAGGAACTTGTGGCACAAAGGTTGGGTATGCTTACAGTCTGGGTTTCTTTTTTGGGCCAGGCTTGCCTCGTGGTCTTGGTAGTCCATTCACCTCAGACATTTGTCCTAGACTTCTCTTTGTGCCTGCCAGCGAACCTCCTTTGCGCTTCTTCGAGCCATCACCATTCGAGGTATCGGCCGCATCCGCAGATGTGGGAGCCGGGGTTGAGGCGGCTTCGGAGGCATCTTCATTGACTTCGGGGACTTTCAGAGTGGATGTCTCCTCGACTGTAGCAGGGGGAGACGACGCTGCTGAGGCCGTCGACTGTTCCTCTGACTTGGCTGGAGGCTCCTCGAAGCGACGCAGGACTTGGGGTGACAACTTAAGTGTGAGGATCTTGACTTGCTTTTTGTTCTTGTCTGGTTTGGCCGTGGCTGACGGTGATCGACCTGCCGTACTGGACGAAGACATGGCCATGGACGGGAATTATGGAGGGTGTCAAGGTGGAAATGGTAGGAGTTTTCGAGTGTGAGGCAAGCTGGTTGGTGTGTGTGCACTCAACGGTTCGGCTTTAGTAAGGCCCGTGCTAGTGGCAGCAGAAAGGCGGCAGAGATTATTCGCCTGCGTGCGTGAAGCTGAGGTGCTAGGTTATTATTATTGTGGTCAACTTAGTTGTGTGGTGTTGGTAAGGGTGGAATGGACTGGTGACGAGTGGTCATGGTGGGTGTGTGCAGGTTGATGGATAGAAAGGGTGATGATGAGAAGTAGAAAAAGTGAAGATGAGGTGGGCATGGGAGTTGAAGGGGATGAGACAAAGACGGTGCTGGAGCTGGACCTGGCGTGTGATTTTGTGTGTAAGTGGCCGGATCATTCTGGATGGCATGGCTTGGGATTTTTGCGTGGTTATGGGTTTGGGTTTGGGTTGGCTCAGATCAGATCTGGGGAGCGCAGAGAAAAAGTGAGAGGGCTGAAGGGGTCGTGAGGGCGCGTGTGACGGCAGAACGGGAGGCGGCGAGCAGGAGAGGGCACAGGGCGGTTTGCTGCTCACGGCACGCGAAGACGCTCTTAGAAGAGAGAAGGATGAAGCGACCAGGGTTTTTCGGTTTGGTGTTGCGAGAACCCGCATTGGGCCAACGCAGGGGGGTCATTTGAATTTCTCGGCGTGGGCGCCTGGGCGTGTCAGGCGTCGAAACGCTTCAAATCTGGCTGTCTGACAGAATCATTGATCGTCCGTCCGTGCAGCGCCCCGCCTAGCCACCAGCATTTTTAGTCAGGAGCAAAGCGCCCAGCTACGCTAACCGCATACGGTAGCGCGGCCTTTGTCACTTTCTGTGGTCAAATCCACTCCTGCGACCTGCGGCCTTTTAGCCTTTTGCCTCCTTCTCGTAAAGGCCTCTTCTTCGCCAGTCACTTTCTGGGTTTCCTCGGTCACTTACCTCCAAGGAGCAATCCACTGAAAATCTTGGTCGCCGCATTTATCGCCTGAGGCTAGCTATCATCGATACCACTGGAATCGACTAATGTTTCCCACCTCATCGCCGAGCTGCTGCCTGTTGGGTCATCAAACAGCGACTCCTTCTCTGCCTACTCCGCATCTTCCGTCTACGGGAATCTGCCATGGTCAGGATAACAGTGAAGGCAATTTAGGAACAAGAATGACAAGGCCTACTTTGTAAACCCCCCTGGACAACGAAATGCATCCGGCGAAAAAAAGAAAGTTGCATCAACCTGGTGGATTTCTCAATAAACCTTTTCGCTCACCGCTTCGCCCAACTAACACTCAACCTCAGCCATCTGCTCAAGAAGCCCATACCCAGGTTCCTGCTGCGGCACTTCTCTCCGATTGTCAACGATTATCCCCAGACATAAAACCAGACATTCGGCCAAACTCTCGGATCACCACGACCCAGCGAAGCTCTTCTCTACTGTCCCCTGGCGAGTCCACGCTGAGAGATCTCCAGAAGCAGTACACTACATTGTCCAATAGGCTCACTCATCTGCGTCAGTCACTTCAGACGGCAGAACACGCTCTTCAGATCGAGGGATCGAAGCAGAATGCCGAAGTGCAGTCTCTGGTTTCCCGTTGGCGGATCATCGCCCAAGATGCTGCAGAGGAGCTTTTCGCTGATGCCAAACAGAGGGTTGACATGATGGGAGGCGTTGTTCAGTGGCGACGACGGCTTGAGGAGGACTCACGACTGTGGAACAATGCTGAGAGCGAGGCGTGTGCTCCGAAATCTGCAGGCGAAGTGGAGGACGACAACGGTAAAAGAGAGACAGAGGAAGCCGACCATGCAAACCCTATGGATGCTGAGAGCGATCTTGAACGCCCGGAAACTGTAAGTCCAAGGTTGGTTTATTTTCCCCTTGTGCGCACTAATTTTGCAATTTATTGTAGTGTTTCTTCACCATGGAGATGATGCTCAACCAAATGAACGTTGATTTACAATTAATCGGCTTTGACAAAAACCAGGAATGCTGGATATGACTGAAACTGGGAGTGGGATGCAACTCATATTTGAGAATCGCTGCGAGCTCCAGAACAAGAATGATTCTGCAAAGGGAGAAGCGTTCATTCTTCCTCATATGGCAACTTCGTCCTGCCTAATTCGGAAATGGTCCAATGAGAACCCCCGAAAAGGCTGACAAAGCACATCTGCATCGCATTTGCTTCTCTTGGCTCCTGAAGGTATATTCTCTCGCCAGCCAGACATCCACTTGAAGCAAGCGGTTCTATGGTGCTGGGCTCTTTTCTTGGGCCCCCCGTCATTCGCAAGATGACTGAGTTGATCGTTCCGTGCTGAGAAATGCTAGGCCGAGCCATGGCAGGGAAGATCGTGAAGGCAATGCACGCCCAGATAAATGGTCTATCCCAGGGGTATAAGTATGTATCAAGAGCTTCAGTCAAACAAATTCTATTCAGTCTATTTCCTCTCACGCCTTTCCTCTATACTTGATAACTATCCTTGCCTGAACTCTGAGGGTTCCAGTTCCATCTCAACCCCCAAAGCCTCGGTTGTCATCAGCATGAACTCCCATACCACGCTGTTGACTGGAGGGTCGGGATTCGTCGGGGCCACAGTCCTCGATGAACTGCTTGCGCAGAATCACAACGTTGTTCTCGCAGTCCGGTCCCCCTCGTCCGCCGAGTCGCTGCTGTCCAACAACCCGTCGTGGCCGGCGTCGAAAATCGCCGTGCACGCAGTCCCAGACTTCACCGTCCCCGGGGCCTTTGACTCGGTGTTTCAAGAACATCCGGAAATCGAATACATCGTTCACGTTGCGGCGCCCATGGTCGATATGCCCGACAGCACCAGCTTCGAGGAGTCGTTCGAGAAGCCCAGTGTCCTGGGCAATCTGGGTTTGCTCCGCAGTGCCAAGTTGTACGGGAAGAACGTCAAGGCCGTGAGTGTGACAGGAAGCTTGAATGCAATCACCCTCGGCGATCAGGAGGATATTAAGAGTAGAGTTTTCGGAAACGGGGAGTGGTTGCCACTGGGCAGAGAGGCCGCGGTGGAAGCGAACAGTAACTATGTGAGTTTCCTTTCATTTTCCTTGCTGTCTTCTTCCACTGGGAATTGGTTTCGTCCGGGTTAAGGGACATTATGGAGGCGTGGATGAGCCCAGTCTCCAGCAAAAACCGCTGACACCGCTGCCTTCCTCTCTTTCAGATCTCCTACTGCGTTGGCAAAAAGCTCGCAGAACAGGCCCTGTGGAAATTTGTGGAAGAAGAGAAACCTGCCTTCACGGTGACCAACTTCATGCCCCCCTTGATCTTTGGCCCCATGCTGCAGAAAGTGGCCGGGGTGGAGAAGATCAATTTCAGCGATGGTCTGATTTATGCCATCATGAACAGCAAGAACAGTGAAAGTGGCAAAGTGCCAGCGACCGCGTTCCCAGGTTGTGTGAGTCCTCTCCTCCTTACCCACAAATACTATTGAATCGGTCGCTTTGGAGGAAATCACCACTGACCTAGGCTTGGACATAGATTGATGTTCGCGATCTCGCCAAAATCCAAATTCGTGCTCTCACAAATCCTGGGGCAGCAAATAAGAGGTTTGTGGTGGGCCATCCTATGATCTTCAATCAGATTGCCGATGTGCTGCGGAAGGAGTCCGCATTGAATATCTCGGATCGGATCGGTGAGGATAATGATGAGGGTTCGTCTTTGACACTCCCGAGGCTCGATACTAGGGATGTAGATGAAGTGTTCAAGTTCGAGTGGACAGCCTTGGAAGTGACTGTGCGAGACACTGCAGCTGCGTTACTCAAGATTGAGGCGGGTAGGGCTTGAGAGTCTTGCTGCATCTTGGAGGTGTGGTCGCCGATAGCTGAAAGAATCTTGCAACGGAAAGATGGTGCATTCCATGCGTTATCACATAGACAGTATTCACCTCATGACTGGAGGACGGCTTTCCTTATTCCATACGACTCGGCTTTTAACCCATTCCACAGCCTCCTTCACTCCTGTCCCTGTCAACGCACTCACTGGCAGAACACGGCTGTCTCGGACCATGCCTCCCTTCTCGCCTTCAAACACTTTCTTCACGAAGCCTTCCTTGATCCTGACAACTTCGAGGCAATCTTCCCTGTCCTGTTTGTTGGCCAAAATCAAGATGGGAATTCCGGCCGTATCGTCATTTTCGAGTACACTTTCTAGAACAGCCCGACATTCGTCCAATCGACCTTGAGAAAGTCCAGAAGCGAAGAATCCTGGTGTCATGGGCGTCATCGGGGTCCATGGAGTCTGCGGTTCATCTTCATCACCACCCTTGCCAATATAGCTCTTCTTGCGCCCATGCCATCCGGGGGTCTTGGGTACGTCGTCGATCTCTCCGTTCCCTACGTCGGTACTGTCCACAACAAACACTACCGCATGCGCGCTTTTATAATAGCTTGTCCATAACTTCCTCAAGCTCATTTGCCCGCCAACATCCCAGATCTTCAAGTACATCTCTGGCAGGTCGATCGTTGCAACATTTTGGCCCACAGTGGGTACCGTGTTGCCTGCGGTGTCTGAGGCAGGGGCATCGCCTGTCTGACCAGCGACAGGGTCTGCAGTGGTGTTGTAAAGGGCTTTTATTTGTGAGAGGAGGGTGGTCTTGCCGGCATTGTCAAGGCCCAGGAGGATGATGGAGTACTCTAATTACCGCGGGGGTCAGGTCAGCCTCGTGGATAAGACGCAGCTGTCGTTGGCGGGGCTTACCGGGCTTGCTGGTCGCATAGAGGTACAGGGAGCGAACCAGGTGATACATGTTGCGCAAACACGAAAGCGAAGAACGAGGGCTATTGAGAGCGTAGTCAAAGAACGAGAGTATGGAATCTTTGGCCCGACGGCGATTCTGCCACGTGTATCATTATTGCAATGTCTCGTGCTCCCCGAGCTGCACCTTCTTCAGCACGACAGAAGGGGAGCCAAAGGCTTTTCGATAGAACAAAAAAGCGACAGAGAAAGAGCGTGGGTTCGAAATTTCCGTTTGCCTCAGGTTAATGATATTGTATCAATGCTGGATGGCAACTGACTTTAGAGAAGATCAAGAGGACGACCCGAGAATATACGTTGCTGTCTGACAGCAATTCTCTAGGGTAGGCAGTGTGACATTGTGACAAGTCAGACACATGATTTTCCTGTGTGGATTTGTCCATGTCCCTTGCTCCCCTTCGCAGAGTTCGGTCCAATCAACCCCCATTTCTCACCATTTGCACAACCCATGTTGAAGCATTGGAGCACTCGCTTGGGACTCTCCATCTCGCATTAGTGATGCCTACGAGGGCGCGCAATAAAAGTACCGTCTACGCTAATTCAAATGACAAATGCTACTTACTATGACAGAAGATTTTCTAAGCTTATAGACACTTATACCTATCTCTTAGCTATAAGTTAGAACTAATAGGCGGTAGCGTTATCTATATTCTCAATCTTGATAGACGCTGTAGGCACTGAGAATTGAGCTCCGATATCTCCGGGGCCGTTGTAAGGCAACGGAAATACTCTGTTCTCTTTTGATCACCTTGTCACTCGATTACTAGCGTTGACGATGCTTTTGGTGCGCGCCTCGGTACACTACTTCTCTGAGTATTGGCTGGAATGGACCCCTCCAGCCAGTGGCAACAACTCCATCTCTACGCGGTTGGCTGTCGACACAGCCCACATGCAGACCTTTGGATCGGCGGCGCAGTAAGTTCGCACAACGGTGTGTTGTGCAGTCATGAGCCTGCGCAGGGGTGTGAGGCTGCAGAATCGATACAAGCGTTTCGTTTCAGTGAATATCATTAAAGGCCTGCCCAGTTGCGAGCTCCTCATCGATGCTCTCTCTATCTTTATGAGCACGTTTGGCTCAGCCTTCGCAAGAGGTTCACACTTCATCAGACACATTGGGTGAGTTCTGAGGACCATGGACGACTACGACTTCATGCAGTATTACACAGCATTGTCATTTGATTTTCTCGACCCAATCATTCAGAGGACAGACCAGCACGACCATGAGAATACATCAATCGAAAGCCTCTACAGCAAATCGGAACCTCTAGGGACAACTCGCACTGCACTTTCACCGGACTCTGAATATCGGGGCTCTGGATATCGGGCCCCTGAGTATCAGGACTCTGGAAATCGGGACTCTGGATATTCGAGCTCTGGATATCGGGGCTCTGGATATTCGAGCTCTGGGAATCGGGACTCTGGATACTCGAGCTCTGGATACCGGGGCTCTGGATATTCGAGCTCTGGATATCTGAACTCGCAATCCTCGGTACCCTCGGATGTATTACCCTTGATACCAATTAAGTTACAACTGGAGGAAATCCAAGTACCATCCCCCGCACCTCAGCCTTCTCCGCCGAGCATCAGAAATACCAAGCCCCAAAATGTCAAAACGAAACCGAGATATGTTTGTCCTGTCCCAAGCTGTTTACGCGAATATGTTCGCAAGTCCTACTATGACAATCACATAAAGTCAAAACACCCCGATCATAAATTGCCTGTCGAGACAGATCCAACATTACCGCCGTCTCTCGATGCTGAGCCCGAGAAAGACGCGCCAGACCAGAGGGATTTGAGCACGGAAAACCCTACTCCTGAAGAGCATTTTCCAGAGCCACCGTAAGTAAAGCTCGATGTAGATGTTTTATTGGAGATAAGCTAATAATTCCCTTTACTGAAAGTGACTATAAATGGTTTGAAGAGTTTGAAGAGTTTCTCAATGATGGAGACACAGTCCCTTTGAGTCAGGGACTGTGGCCAATAGCCACTTCACAGCAATCTATCATTCCTACCCCCAGCCAACTACCCTCGTCTCTCGCTCTTTCCTGGACGAACTCCTCGAATTCGCCATGGTTCGAATCGGATGGAGAAGCGTCTTTTGTGGCCGGCGATAACTCTGTCATTTTGACGAATTTCAGTGATGTATCTACCTCAACCGCGCGGCTGGCATCGCTTGCTTCACGGCTCGTTACGCTTTACCTTGGACAGACAGCTGGGCCTCGAGATGGTGGTGAGACTTCCTCGCAGACAAGTCCTAGCTCGAGCATGTCTAGCCAAGCGAACAGGAATGCTCCTTCAAGCTCTGTCACAACGTCCCCGTCAATTGAGAGATCTCCACAGAAGAGACCGCGCCCTAATGACAAGGAGGACGAGTCAAGAAAGAGAAAAGTCCCTAGAACGTCGGACGTCTCGCCGACTGGCACAGATTCGAGACTCCTCGCTTGCCCGTACTCGAAATTTGACCCAGCCCGGTATTCAGAACGCAATGAGCACGAACAGAACTATCGAGGCTGCTCAAGCTGTTTTCTCAAAGACATTCCGCGCTTGAAGCAGCATTTATATCGTGTCCATCGGCGACCTGAGCATCACTGCCCGACCTGCTTCTCATCTTTTGACTCGAAAGTCGTCTTGGACGCCCACATTGTCGAGAGATCTTGTCAGCAGCGCGTCTCTCCCTTTGAAGAGAAGATGACCCAAGATCAACTGATGGCGATCAAAAGGCGCGAAATAGGTCGAACGCGCTCCGATGCATGGTTTGGCATCTACAAAATCTTGTTTCCGAACTCGCCGTTGCCCCTGGATCCGTATGTCGACAGCATGCACGCGGACACGGTGCAGAACTTTATTGCCTTTTTTGAACGCGATGGGCGAGTGGTTCTAGCGTCGGAGATCAATCAACGCATGTTTGGCGAGGTAGCCACTACGCCTGCGGAGCAGGACTTCGTCGACAGGGTCCTCGCGGAGTCGATAAACGTGCTGCTTCAGCGGCTTAATTCGCGATTCAGACAACCATCGTCATCCGATACTACGTATGTGTAATTTGAACAAATGGGATTTCAAGATCCCTACCACCCTCTGTTTTCCCGACGAGCCGAACTATAGATGGCTTTCTAGATATATCCCGGCCATTCCATTCAAAGGCAATGGCCCTTTAATACAATGTCACGCAAGGACAATGTCCATCTTCATCTCCCTCAAAACATCCTGCCACTGTATATCCACGTCTGCGCTCCCTCGATCATCCGCATACTGCCGTCTCCGCCACAACTCTCTCGCAATGTCCTTTGAAATCTCCAGGTTCATGAACCCATGCCTCCTCTTCAGCCGATACCAGCTGAGCATCCTCTCCTGCATCTCCTCGCTCAAGCACTCACACGCCACGATGAACGGCGGCCAAACCAACGTGCAGCCTATGCTGTCACCCCCGAGGCTTTCAATGTCTTCGAGATGCGTGACGGCTTTCGAAACCATAGTCTGGATGCACGCGGCCTGCGGGGAGAGGCGCCGGACGGTGCGGAGAAAGTAGATGAGCGAGGCGTAGTAGAAGACGTAGGCGTGGTGCAAGGTTAGAAATTGAGCGAGGGGTGGAAGGCCTGAGAGGTCCAGATTCGACGGCGTCTGCGCGTACAGTTGGGTTTCCAGATCGTCCAGCATCGCGGCCGTTGGCGGCTCCGAAGCTGTGGTCGAAATGCGGTTGGTCAGGCTGTTCATCACGACGATGTGTTTCAGGATCGGACGGGTGAGCCCGAAGAATCGATCGAGCACGTAGTTCCGCTCGTCGCCCAGGAAACTTTCGGATTCGACGTCGATGGTGGACGGGAGATTGATATTACACAGCGCCGCAATGGCGAGATAACCTTGGTAGACCATGGAGGAAGATTTGTCGCGATTCCACTCGCTGTTTTCTATGGTGGACAGCCACGAGGCGCCACCTTGAAGATGGGTGCGCCATTCGCCCGCGCGGCCAGTGATCATGTCCATTGCAGAGAACATGGTGATGGTCGCGAGAATGGAGCCCCGGTGAAGGTGGACCTGGCCGAGATTTTCGTCGTTGTCCTTGAGGTTCACGAGGCTATGGCGCAGGTGCATGATTGCTAGATTGTAATGCTTCATCGCCAAGGTAAGGTTTCTGCTATCCCCATGGAGAAGCTGCCCACGGCTGAAGGCCGAGGTGGCACATAGCGCGTGGAAAAGTGCAATCTGTCCGTTCGATTGGTTTGATGGCGACGATAGGCCCGCGAGAGCCATGGGCGTGAAGACGCTGCGAAATGGGTTGTCCGGCCGGTCGACGGGGACGAGGTGCCAGCAGACGAAGTTTGTCCAGTGGTGGATGAGATCTCGTTGTTCAGCCGGACGCGGTAGAAGGTCGAGGTGGCGTATTGTAAGCGGTAAAGCAGGACTCGAAGGCCATTGTGTGGGCGTGTCCGGAGTGTACGCTGAGCCTTGAAGATAGGTTGTGGAAGGAGAGATGATGGTTTCTATCAATTCGTCTCCCGGGTCATCAACATCCTCTTCCGAGAGATCTGTTGGCAAGGTCGAATCTCGTCTTTCGTAAATTGGAAGTGTCTGTAAGTCTGATTCAAAAGATGGTTCAAGCTGTTCTGCCTCGGCTGTTTGTAGCGAAAAGACTGAGAATGGGCCTGACGACACGTATCCTTCTCCGGGCAAGAGACCTTCTATGACCTCCAAAGCCTCATTGACATCGACTCGCATGAAATTCGACCCATCATCATAGACGGCGGGCGTGCCGATGACGCGCCGGATGTTCTGCTCGCGCTCTTGACTGTTCGGGTCGATCCAGACGAGCTTGATGCCGTATCCTTGACATTGGAATCCACCCTTGATACATCGCGCACAATGGGGTCTTGCTTCGTCACATTTCACATGTCTATCACGGCATGTCCAGCAACCTGAGAATGTCTTGGTGTGCTTGACGGCTTCTCGAGCCTTGGTTGCTTTGCGCGCTGTGTGAGCTGGTTTCATCCGAGATGG